GTAATCACTGATTCCGTTAACTTTGCTTGTTTCATTACCCTTTCCATTCCATTCCTTTGTTATTCCATTCCATCCAAACAAACAGACAGTGATTTGTTTCATTGATAAGGATAGATCAGGAGCCTGAGAGCAGCTTACAGGAAGATATTCATGCCTACTAATGCAAACATTGGAGGCATTGAATCCCGTCTTGCTGAAGTGGTAATACAATTTGTTTTTTGTAAAATTTCTCATTTATTATTAAATTCTTTGTTAAGTTAAAACATGGCTTAAAAAAAATATAAAATAATGTAGGAATGTCATGAGGAGTTGTCACTTATTCCTGCTGTGCTTTCCATGGTGCAATCCATACGTGAATCTCTTGGTGAAAATCGGCGTGGAATTTGCAAATTCAGATCTTGGAGTTTTTCCTGAGTGTGTGTGTGTGTGTGTATGTATCTGTGTTTGTATCTCTTATCATCTTGTGGTGAATTTTATTTATATGTATATGTATTGAATTGATGTCATTTTTCTCTTGGAGACAACATAAGTTGATCTCTACAAAGATACAAATGAGAGAACATAAGGGTGGGTGTGTTTGTGGATTTTGATGGAATTGGAATTCATGATTCCATTCCATGGCCATGTTTTGGTTGCCAATTGGATGAAATTTAATTCCGTAGGAATCTTTTAAATTCCATGTTTGATGGATTTCATCATTCGTAACTTAGGGTGGAAAGAATTCAATTCAATTCCATTTCATTCTGTGGAAGGAATTCAGTTCAATTCCATTCCATTCTTCTTTTATTATAAGACCAAAATAATCTCATTATGTATACTAGAATACATAAAAATAAAAATTCAATTATAAACATTTACAATAGAAAAATATATAATTAAAAAAATTATGTTTTTTTTTTTTTTTTTTTTGTTTTTGTTCTTTTTCTTGCCAACCAAAACACTTGTGTATTGTATTTGGTATGGTGGAATAGAATCACATAGGAACGAATGAATGACGCTTTGAGGTAATGGAACGGATCATTACATTCCATTATCATTTTTGGTTGACTTGATGGAATAGAACAAGTCATTTGAACATGTTTGTTATGTATTCATATTCCATTTGATTTAAAATATATGCTATATGTATTTCAAAAATAGGTAAAATAGAAATCTAAAAAGCCCTGTTCACGAAACTTTTAAGAACAATAGCTTTTTAGCTTTTATTTTTTAAGAAAAAAACTTTGTTCAACCTGCTGAAAAAAACTTTGTTTAGTAGTAGGAGTTTTTTGATTTTATTTTAAATGAAAAACTCTTATTTTAAAGGTTGTGTTTGACAAAACTACATGAAAGTTGATAGTTAGAAGTTATAGCTTTTATTTCTGTTTAAATGTTCGGTACACGTAGTTAACTTTTAAATATGTAAAATTATATAAATTTCAAAAACTAAAACCTCTCAAAAGCAACTTGAAGTGATTTTTGAATGAGTTTTTTTTTATTTAAAATAAAAATTAAAAGCTCTATCATTGAACATTTTTAGGGTTTATTTATTTATTTATTTATTTTTTTTTAAGTTAAAATCTCACAAAGCTTTTAAAATCTTTGTATCAAACACACCTTAAAGCTACTTCAAATAGTTTTTGAGAGTTTTTAACTTTTGTTTGCTTTTTTATATAATTTTACAATAATAGCAATTACTTTTGTTGACCCTTATACACAAATAAAACTTAGCTTACAACTTCCAACACTCATTTTTCCTAGCCATCAGCTTAATTCCAACTTCTAGTTAGCAACTAGTTTTACCAAACACGTCCTGTATGAATAAAAGTAATTTATAATTATAATATATCATTCTATTCCCTGAAGCTCTGAAGGCACGAAGGAACGGAAAACATTCTTCCACGTTGAATAAAAATCAATCCAAGAAAAGAAATCACATTCCATTCATTCATCGCAAACAAACAACATTTTTTCATTGGACAATATTGCTACATTCCATTCCTTTTTTATACACTATCTTGACATGTTATAATTCATTCGGAATACATTCATTAAAAAAATATTCAAATATAAATACAAATTTGAGATAATTCCAACGACAATCGTAGATTTTGAGGTTGCACCAGCTCATGAGAAGATTCCAATTCCTTCGTGGTCCTGTTAGCATTTAACTTACATAGTTATACCTTTTATTTTAAAGACGATAGACCTTTCTAGTGCCACTTGTGCCTTCTTTTTCATACTAAAGTGGATTGGTGTCATTAAGGCTTTTGTTTATACATACGTGACTTTTTTGTAATCTTTCTTTTGTAACAAGTACCATGATAAATAAATAATATACCATGACCATGCATCCAAGTACATAAGGCTTTATTCTTTAGTCTACCTTTAAAAATGTTTTACAACTTTTGATTAAGATCAAATTGCTTTTGTACTTTGATTTGGTCATAGTGTTGGTGCGTTTCCACAAATGATATGCATGAAAACTCGCATAATGGCCATAAAAGTAAATGGTTTTATGGTACGATAATATTAGTGCTTCAAGATTGTTGACCCCTCCTTTTCCTAGGCCCATGATGTCTTGAATCGCACATGAAGATCTTTGTTTCTAATTAAAACCGAATTGTTTGGTAGATGTATTTATGGTTTATGTTGATTCAATTGGCATATTGTTGTATCACTTGGTAAAAAAAAGTAAAAAAAAATGAAGCATTGTGACATAACTTGGTATGTAAAACCATTCTATTTACCACCCTGGTAGCCCACCAACTTAATACGTTCATCCCGTGTGTATTGTGGTGGCTATGGCGTTGTGGAATGTGGTCACTACCACAATTGAAAACATCCATCATTCTTTCTTTCTCTCTACTTTTTAATTAATTAAAAAATATATTTTTTAATAAATAATAAAAAAGATAAAAAGGATGTAGTGATGTTGAGTGATGTGGTTTTAATGCGGCGATGAGGTGATCCTAACATGTCATCCCGCCATAATTTTGGTAATGATATGTATACCGAATGATCTAAGTGAAACATTAATATAGTACAGTATATTTTAGTTAAATGTATTTGCATATTTCGTATAAAAATCATTTTGCATAAATTAAAAAAATTATGACTTAAATATCACGTCTTACCTTAGGGTTAATCACAAAAATGACATCAATCTTCTCAAAAAGCTAATTTAAGCATCCCTTTAATACATTTTACAATTGGGTTGTATTTTATGCATGAATAGTAGTACTCGTGTAGACTTTGCTTTTCGAGAAGAAACTAAACTTTTAGTAATAAAAGTGTATTTGGCAAGTTGCCATTTTGTTTGTGTGTTGTTTTCATAGGATACCAACCTCACTCAAGATTTATGATTCGTGAAGTGGAGACTATCTGGCTTGGCCAATCTGATTTAGGGTAAGATTATTATATAGTTTTATAAACTTTTAAACATTGTTTTCTTGATATATATATTTTTAAAATATGTCAACTTGTTGCATGATTAAACCAATTTTATCATTGAAAAAAAAGACTATTTTAAAATATCTCAACTTGTTGCATGATTAAACCAATTTTATCATGGAAAAAAAAACTTAGTCAATGAAGGTTAATTAGGCCGCATAAAATATGGTGTTGGAAGATTCCCTCTTATAGTAATGCCAAACTCCAAATCCTTTAAATCCTTTAAAATATATTCGCCAATGGAAGGTTTTGTGTGTGTAAGTATGTACGTATGTATGTATATATGGGGAAATCTTTAGTAGATTCAATTTGTTCATTTTACGTATTATAAGAGATTCACACGCATTATGTTAATTCAATTTCGATAGGAATCTTTATATTGTTTATCTTCGAAATATTTGTATTTAATAGTTGTTTAACATTCAAACCGACATGATTGGTTGAATTGGTTGACCTTTTCGGTTTGAAAAGATGAATCCAGATCAATCTTAAAAACTAATTATAAATTATAGTGTGGTTTTGAACAATTAATTATGAAGATACGTTTAAATTATATGTGTAGTTTATCCTAAATGGAAATAAAGTTATCATTTTTTTATTTTTTTAGGCACCTAAGATATATCTTTTTTTTTTTAATAAAGAAAAAAAACAGACATTTTTTTATAAATTTAATGAGATAAATAGGTGTTGAACAGTTATAGACTTTTTGATTTATTTTTCTTTATTTGAGTGGATTTCATATTATATTTCTTAAGGTGGTGGTTGATGCTTGATGGGGTTGGGTGGATAAGTACTTACACCCTAAATTATTGGTTTCTTAGGTACCAATAAAACACGAGCAAATAAATTTAGAACGTTTTTTATATAATATAAAATGAACTTAAAAACAAATCGTACTTCGTTTTTTCCTTACCAAACTATCGATTTTTGGTAATCTATATGTACTAGAAACTTTTAAATTATAAAATAAACTTATTTCAAAATGAGAGGAATAGACAAATTTTCATTTTAAAATTATGTTTTTTGTTTAATTTTTGCTATAGTGATGCCATTTTACTATTTGGGGTACTTGGGTTCAGAACTTTGATTTTGTCTTGGTTTTGAAAAAGAAAACTTATAGGATAAAAACAAATATAAATGATTTTTCCATTATATTAAGACCCATAATGATTAGTTTCACAAATAGATACACGTTATATTGCATAATATACAAGTTATTACAAAAAGGTTATTCCGAAATTATGTCATTAAAAGATTAAACTCATAAAACACCCAAACTTAATACTTGATTGATCATCAAATAATTAAATCAAGATTGGTTTCTTTATTGATCATGTCAACATATGCTTACAACTTCAACGATGTTAATGTCAAGATTCTTTAAGAGGTTAATTGAGGCCTTCCATACTCCAATAATAGATGCCGGCCAGTGTAAAATATCAAATCCATTGCACAAACTTATTTAAATTATCTTTGCTCGACTATAACTACATATTTTATCTCGTTTTCGGATATTTAACTTGGGTTTTGTTTATTATTGAAAAGTAGCATAAAAATCCCAAGTGGACAAAAGAATGTCATGATCTTTAAACCCTACTATGTTTGTACAAATTAATCACGAACACATCATATCATATCTTCCCGTGATATCCTTTCTAGATGCCAATATCATGAATCAAGATTCTTTTCTTCTATTTATATAGTTGGATAAGTGATTTTGGTCATAAAAATATTATCTTTTTTCAAATCGTAAAAAAGAATATCCACCCAATCATTTATTCTTAGGTTTGCATCCATTTTTGCCAAAACCCCACCTCCCACCGCACATATATCATCATCATTATTTGCCTTTGTGCCAAACCTAACATTTCCTTTTCTTTTCTCTCTTTGGGTTGCTTTTTAGGTGTTGGGTATTTGTGGGTCATTCTTACTTCTTTCTTTTGCAAAAGAAGTTGAACCAAAATGGGGAGAAAATGCTCACATTGTGGAAACATAGGCCACAATTCAAGAACTTGCACTAGTTATAATAGAGGCAATGTCAATAGCACAATCTTGATAGGTGGTGGTGGAGGGGGATTGAGGCTCTTTGGGGTTCAACTAGACACACCACACTCTATGGTGATTAAGAAATGCCTTAGCATGGATTGTTTGCCTTCTTCATCACCACTACAAGCTTCAACTTCACATTCACCTTCATCTTCCTTATCTTCTTCTCGGGTGTCTGTTAGTGACCTCAAGAGTATGTCAGTTGGTTATCTTTCAGACGGTCTTAGAGCTCAAGAACGGAAAAAAGGTATGTAAAAGTCATCAACAATATTATTTTATATACTGTACGACAGTTGGAAAATTCTTTTTATGGTTACCTTACATTGTGTATGCCACCGTGCCATGCATGTATTCAACTTTAGAATTCTCTTTTTGACATAAAAGAATGTAGAATTTCAATAGTGACATATTGGATGGGTGGTTTTGTAGGGCTTCCTTGGTCAGAAGACGAACACCGTTTATTCTTAACCGGTCTTGAAAAGCTTGGTAAAGGTGATTGGAGAGGGATTTCAAGAAACTATGTGACCACAAGAACACCTACACAAGTTGCAAGTCATGCCCAAAAGTACTTTCTAAGGCAAGCTAGTCTTGTCAAGAAGAAACGTCGCTCGAGCCTCTTTGATTTGGTATGTGTTTCCGCACAATCATGCATTACAAGGTTGTACTTTGTGTAGAAAAAATAGTACCTCCATTAGGATGGAGGTCATATAAAGTGTTAAAGCCTCATGATTGTTTTGTACAACCATACACTATGTTCGGTAGCGGCTTGAAACTTTTACAACAATGTACAACCCATAATACACAAACTATAACCCTTTAATAGATGAAGCTAAAACTCCAAATTTCTTGTAATTGAAGAGATCCCAGAAAATCGATGTCCTTTTCTTGATACAACTTATAAAAAAAGTTTCTAAAGTTATTTTTGGTTGTGGTCACAGGTTAGGGGCAACAGCAACAAGAATGTAGTAGCAAATCAAGAAAATAGTTACAACATGAGTCGCACAAACTCCTTTGATGAAGATCATCAAGATCGGAGTAACAATCTTTCTTTGATAGATTTCAGTTCACTAAAACAAGAAAATGTCTACTACAATCCAACAGTGAAATCTTATGAAACAACATCAATGTGTTCACATGTGCATACTTCTCCATGTGGTACTGTTGGCTCTAAAAGTGGTACTCTTGATTTAGAACTTACACTTGCTGCTCCAAAGCCAGTGGAAAATAACAATTCATCTACTACTACTTCACTCCAAATTGGGCCCATTATCAGTGTAATTTAATTTGAGTTTAAATTAACCTTTTTTGTATGCTAAAAAATCTAATTATTAAATATTGTAGATATATAAATATATATATATATATATTTTTAAAATTTTGAGACCTTCGACAACCTGGCCCGGTTAGAATAAGATATTTTTGTAACTACAAATATACATATATATGTATATATATTACCCTATTAAATATTAAATTAAGGTTTAATTCGCGTGAGCAGAAATTCTCTTTGTATCATCGGTATTCAATATTTGTAATATTTTCAATGGACGATTTGTTAGACCATTTGTTCGGATAAACTACAAGTTTATAACATGATTGATGAATGGGGCAGGGGCATGACAAAAGAGATCCGATTGAGATAATAATAAATATGCAATCCAACCCTATAAAACTATAAATTCTTGCGATTTTTCCTCCGACCATTGATATAATGTTATTATTGATCAAAACAAATTATGGAAAATCCCCGTTTCATTTTGTGTTGTATGAAAAACATATCTACTCTAATAAATGAAGATTTTTTCTCGATCATTATCATTCAATTTGTTAAATGTCATTTATTTTGTAGTTATTTTCAATTAACTTTTTTATTATGTAGTTATTTTAATATAATAATTATAATAAATGCAGTAATAAATGCATATCAATTTCATTAATGAATTTATCTTCTAATTTTAAAATTCACAAATTAAAGCTTATTAGTTTATTTTTTGCTTATTTATTTAAATTATTTGTTTAAATTTAAAAGATAAAGAACACATTTCATTTTTGATAATTTATTGTTTTTGCCTATTTCTTATAATTCAAAGTTCTCAAATATTTGGATAATCATATATAACTTTTTTTTTAAACTAACTTATGTAATATATGGATCTTACAACTAGTGTATGATTATGATAAAAGTACATACGAACCCATTTATAATTTATAGGGATATATACACTAAAATCCAAATATTTTCAATGATTTGACAAGAAAGTCATAAACTATATTTACTTGACATTAAAGTCCTAAATATCAACAGTTTTTTACACGCTTATCATTTTTTGTTGGTTAGCTGGTAATTAGGACTTTACTGTAAAAAAAAGTTTAGAACTTTCTTGTCAAATCATGAATTATGACTTTACTGTCAAAAAAATTAAAATTTAGGATTTTGATTTTCTTATCAAATTGTTGAAAATATTGAGACTTTAGTGTATAATCTTGTTTCCCTAGAAACAAATAATTTTATCAGCCTCGTGAGACCCAAGAACTTTTAATTGTGATTTTCGTCACAACACCACTCTTTTTCTTACCATCATTATCGTTACCCTGTTACAATCACGATCAGGGGAAACAGATACAAGAGAGAGAACGGAAGAGGGTGAGAAGACTTGTAAAACTTTTTTCTTGGTTCGCCGCCAAATTTGAACTAAAAAAGGGGGACAGATTGTACAAACACAAACATCAATTGGTTCGCCGCCAAATCTGAAACTAAAAAGAGGAGACATATTGTACAAACACAAGTAACACATGCTTAGTCAAAAAGGTGTGAATGTGGAAAAGGGGTAAGAATGACAGTTTCATCTTTTCCAGTTTTTAGTTCTCCATTTTTAGGTTTGCAAAAAGCCAACACAACCCTGATTCTTTCTTTTTTCCTTGATTATTTCCATTTTTTCAATGTCGGTTCGTAACGATTAAAAAAAAACTATTTGACAAGAAGCAAAACGTTAGTGATTTCAATATGATCTAGCTGACCAGGTTCCAATAACACGTATGCTTAAAGACTATCGTACTATTAAATTTCTAACAAAAAAAAGGATATATACACTAAAGTCCTAATATTTTCAATGATTTAACAAAAAAATCATAAACTTTATATTTTGACTGTAAAGTCTTAATTCAAGATTTGACAAGAAAATCCTAAATTGTATTTTTTTGACAATAAAGTCTTAATTACCGGCTAACCAACAAAAAATGGTAAGCATGTAAAAAACTGCTGGTAGTTAGGATTTTACTGTAAAAAAAATAAAGTTTATGATTTTTTTTTTCAAATCGTTGAAAATATTGAGACTTTAGTGTATATATCTCTAATATATATACATAATAAAGGGTGAATTATGTTTTTGAAAAATCAAATTATTAATGATGTTTTCAAATGACAAATATATTTATGACAAAATTGCAAAAATAGTTCCTGTGTTATGCATTTTTTGGGGGTTTTAGTCCAAACCCCGACTTTTTTGGATTCGTGGTCCTTTTAGCCATGTTTGTACGTAAATTTGGTCCCTCGTAAAATTGAAATGACTATAATGCCCTTATGATATATTTTTTTTATGTTTTTTCTATTTAATTTAAATGAAAAAGAAAATAAATAATTATTTTGGGCCCACATCTCTCTCTCTCTCTCTCTCTCTCTCTCTCTCTTATCGTTGCATCTTCAAAATCATGTTCATCCTCATACCAATGTCCAAACAAACCTTCATCCTCACCACTCATCTCCCCTTTTTTGCTCACCTGCTCATCTTCTCCGATTTCCAGTGGGGAACACACCTAAATCTCGATTTCCGGTGGTGCTACAAACAGAATGAAAGCTTCATCCCTACCGACTCACGATTCCACCCTTCTCGCTTCCATCGTCGCTCCTACTACCGCTGACCTGTAAAACTCCTTTCGTTCCTTTGGTGCAAGAGAATGAAAGCAAACGACACCCCTACCATCATGTTTGTGAGTTTGTATTTGTTGTTTCTCCTAATCTATTGGTATCTCCGGAATCAATTGAAGCCACAAACAAATTGGGGGCTTTCGAAGGATTTCATCATCTGTTCTTGGATGTTTCTCCCCCCCATTTGAAACGTTGGAAGAAAAGGAAGCTATATATGATTTCTTCTCCACCTTACTGATTAGTTTCATATCCTTTCTTATTCTAGTGTATTTTTTTGCTTTATTTTTTTCGAAAATGGTCTAACAGTTGGATTTGGGAGGGTCGATGGTTGAAGGTGATGGATTTTTATTTCAATTACTCTTTTTTCGAATTTGATCTAGAAGATGGATATAGGTTTTAAGTTGAATTTGATGGACTTGAAAATTAGGTTAAAAAACTGAAATTTAGGTTGACGGTTTTAAAATTACTGATGTGTGTTGTTCTTAAGTATGTATATTCATCAGTGTGTGTGTTTAGAAAATCATATGTGTTTTTTTCTTGAGTATCTATGTTCATAAGTGTATGTGTATTTTGAAGAAGTCTAGAAAATCTGAAGGGTGTATGTGATTTCAAAAAAACCTAGAAAATATGATGTGTTTTTCTTGTTGTTATGGTATCTTCAAATGTTATTAGAAGAAAATCATGTTTGCAGATGGGTTTTAATGTAGGTGTGATGGATTTCCGTTTTGATTTTGTGTTATTGGGGTATCATATGTTTGTTGAATCTAAACCCAGATCTTCATACGATTCATCCCAACATCTGGGTTTGTATGATCGTATTAATCTGAGAGAGAGAGAGAGAGAGAGAGAGAGAGAGAGAGAGAGAGGGAGGGAGGGAGGGAGGGAGGGAGGGGGAAGGGGAGGGAGGGAGGGAGGGGGAATGGGAGGGAGGGAGGGAGGGAAGAGGGAGAGGGAGAGGGAGAGGGAGAGAGAGAGAGAGAGAGAGGGAGAGAAAGAGAGAGAGAGAGAGAGAGTATGTGGGACCCTATTTTTATTTTTTATATATAATTATTTATAGGTAAAAAAAGAAAATGGAAAATAAATATAATAAGGGCATTATAGTCATTTCAATTTTACGAGGGACCAAATTTACGTACAAACATCGCCAAAAGGACCACGAATCCAAAAAAGTCGGGGTTTGGACTAAAACCCCAAAAAAATGCATACCACAGGAACCATTTTTGCAGTTTTGTCTATATTTATTTCATAGAAAAAGACAAATCAATGATAATTTTAAATATAATTTTCTAAAATTTAAGCAAAATTAGAGAAATTATCATTTTAGCTATTGTTTTCATAGGTGATAACCTACGAAATCTAGTTGTCCTGTGAAAATCTCTTTATTGCTTAGTAACCTACAAAATTCTCCCGACCACCTGCAAAAATGTCTGCGAAAACGACCAGGTAGCATATGAAAATACCAAAATGTGCCACCTACTAGATCTTTCAAACAATAAATAAAGAACCTAAAAATATAAGAATTTCATACCAAACTTTCATACTCATCTTGAAATTATAAATTTGCATTTGCTTGTAAAAATATGTTCTTCTTCACTACCAAAAGACCGGTCGAGAATTGCTCATCTCATCAATCACATTTCACCTCTAACGATACATTTAGACATTGGAAGATGTTGAAGAGTTAAGAAGGGTGTAAAAGACAAAGAATAATAATTTGAGATACACACTTTCACTATCCGTGCATGAAGGTGTGCGATGGACAAAAAGAAGCTAAAATAAAAAATGGATAAAAATCAAGAAAAATAAATTGTTGATAAAGGAGTTTAAAAAATCTGATGTCCGAGGAGAGAGTGTGGTAATGGTTGACATAAAGAAAATGAATGGAAAACAAGCATGTTGACCATTTTTTGTAAGAGTACAACGGGTGGCAGACTAAATATGATTAATAATGTATAGTGTTTCAATATTTCATATCTTATTTAGTATTACGATGTATTTTATTTAGTATTTTAATGTAAATTGTCTTCATACGTAATCATATGACTTATTATTAGCCCTCTATTAAATGTTCATCTACCATCTCATTAAATGCCTACTACTATTGCATTAAATAATGTCTAACCATCCATCTATCATTTTATTTAATATACACCTATCAACCCACCTATCATAATTGTAAAAATTCTATATAAAGAGTGTAAACATGATAAGATATTTATCCAAAAATATGTCTTCATCATCTTCTCCACCAAAACATTTTTCTCAAATCTCCCACAAGTTCAAACACCATGAAAATGGAACACTTAGAGCATGGAGAGATTCTGATGAGATCAAGGATGGTATATTAGCCAAAGAAAAATGAATTGAAAAGACAAAACTGTATGAATGGTCCTTATGGTTAGCTGAAATTACCACTTTGGTCCAAACAGGTTTAGACTAGCACTAGAGGTCCAAAGTTTTTAATTTGTTGCGAGTTTGGACCGTTTTAAAATAAAAAATGGGTGAAATGACGTTCTTGCCCTTTCTATTTACTTTTTACTTTACTTTACTTATTTATTTTATAATTTTTTCGATTAAAATAGAAACAAAATAGAAATTTTACACCAATCCTTTAACAACCTGGCCAAACTTCACCCCACTTTAAATCCTATATCTCTCCCTCTTCCTTCATTGTCGAAAATTTGATTGACCACCGTTACGTCCTACTTTGCCGATGATTTCCCTCCTAGATCTTGAAACCCCTTTAGGATCTAAGAGAAAGAAAGAAGCTTGAGCAAAGCAAGCTAAATTTGATAATGAGCAATGGAATTTTGTCGTATGGTTCGATGGTCAGAACTTTGAGCTACTACTAAGGAGTTAGGATACCTTTAATAGTTTTCTATTACTC